AATAAAAGAAGAAACCACCATTAATGAAACACTGAAATTGTAAAATAAAAGTGTCATTATAGTCTTTGATTCAAAGTCTCAAGATGAAGAAAATTAAAAATAAAGATTAAAATCCTGGGTCTCTTACAGCCAATGGAGGTACCAAGGCAGAGTCAGGTTTACACTCCTGAAGTAGTGGTATGAACATTGACAATGTGAGGTATGAAACTCGTGTCACTTCAAAAATCCACTGAGATTAACCAGAAAATGTGGAAGATGAATTTTTTTTCCCCCTGAAGCCACAGGAGGAAGTCCTGGCAAACCAGACTCTGTCTCCCTTCTCTTTGCAGAGCAGACATATGACAGGGTATGACGTCCCCTGGCAGTGAGATACAGCACCCTCCATCACATTGCAGGGGATCCCCAAGAATACTTGCATTATATGTTAAAATTATTATTTTTGCGGTTGTTATTATTTTTACCACTGCTATTGCTTTTACTGTGATGATGCTTTATTTTTAATATCTCAGTCCTCAATAAGTAATTAAATAGAATTTATGCAATTTCTGAATTTTACTATCCATGTTCAAAAGGATAAATACAGGAAATATTAAGTTTCTATTTTTCTTTCACAAAAAACAACTTTAAGAAATTGTATACATCCCTTCAAGAACAATACCATTGGTAAGGTTATCCAAGCACAGAAAAATGCACACAAATGCTCATGCCTTTCCTGTAGTGAGCATGTGAAATAAGCATATTTTTGACAGAAAATATGTTGCAGAATACCTACAGTAAATGCATACTCAAAAACTAATTGCTCTTCTTTGTTATATCCCAAATGGATATGCATGTGAACAAACATCAAAATATATATTAGCTGCAATACATACACATCTCTATGCAGTAAGTAGGAGAAATATACATAAATACTCTGAGCATAAATTATTTTATGCATATTTTCTAAATTCTTGTTCTGTAGTAAATCTATTTATCCACATGTCTTGATATCCAAATAACTTATTCAATTAGAATACCATTAATTTGTCAAGCTGGCACATTTTTTAACTAAATGAATAGCAGAGTTTCTGGATTCAGCCTCATTAAGCTATTTAGGGATGGTACTTAGCACCAAGGAAAAGCGAAAAAAGGAGAAAATGATCCAAGCAGCCTGCAAGGCTGAGTACTTCTGAATGCCTTTGGCTACAGCCCAGGGTAAGCAGCACACAGCCTCCTAACCCAGCTGCAGAGCCGCCGAATTGGGGGCTGCCTCCCTGCTTGCTTCACTTGGGAAGCTGGCAGAACAAGTCTTTCCTTGCACAGCTTTCCATCATGTGGATGAAGACACCCTCTAAGCTAAGGCCATCCATCCCATTTTTGTCATGACATGGTTTTGCACATCTCTCTTTACTAGGGGAGGTGTCAGGGCAGCCTGGGGGCTGCTGTGTCCCCGGGAGCTGGGATGAGCAGCACTCACAGGGGCAGGGGAGCCCGTGGGGACTGTCACTCTCATGTACCCCTATGCCAGGTCTCAGGGGCCACGCTCACTGCAAGCCCTTAGGATAGCAAGAGAAGACTGATTTTTCTGGCACTGGTGTTCTGTTCAACTGGAAAAAGATGAAAATGGAAAAGCAAAATATTATTGTAATAGCAGGAGAAAATATAGCCATATTTTATACTAATGAATGCTGGCTGGGAAACTCCTTTGCATTTACCAGCAGTTTTTAAACATGTCAAGTACTGCATTTCTGTATACTACCTGACCTTCTGCCCTTCTGCACAGTTTTTACACAGTGCCTGTAATAAAATTTTGACAAGGTTATCTGGGACTTCCTGTGCATAATCAGTGGTGATTGACTCACAGCTTCTGGGAGGCTAGGAAAAAATATATACATGGCAGTTTTTGTAGCTCCTCACTTTAAGCACATTTACAGACATCTCTGTATGTTTGTATCAGTATGAATGAAAACGAATGCAAAAAAAGACTTTATACTTATGCTAGATCTTGCCACTACAAAGACACCACACACTTGTTCTGCAATGAAAAGCAGGACTACATGGCATATTTGTAGTTTAAGCTCTGAGCAAAAAGCCTGTTTGATAGAGCTTTACACATAGCTGTTGTAAATTCTGTTTCATCCTTGCTAATTTTGTCTCTGCTTTTGACTAAATAATAAATCCCCTCTGAGTATCTGAATCCTTAAATGCTGGCAGAACTTGTTGAGTGGAATACCTAGCAGTGTTGTCCATGCTGCCAAAGAGAAAAGTAGCTCCTTTACACTGTACAGCCCAAATCCAATTAAAGCCTCTTCCCCAAAGCCTTTCTGAGGCCAATTACAGGTATTTGTCAAGCTCAAGCTAATGAAATTTAACAAGGCCACATTGTTAATAAGATGCAAATTTGAGCAAAGGTCAGAGAGGTCTGGTGCTATCCCTCACCAACACACGTCTCAGGGCAGGAAGAGCTGTGTCCTTTGGACAGTCCATGGGGAAGCCTGGCTTCATTCTAAGCAGCTCTTCCCTTCTCTGCTCTGTGCAGTTCACAGGGAGCCTGGTGCCAGCCCGGCTGTGAGCAATGGGCAGACCCACAGCCTTTCCCCTTGCACACACGAGTTTTCCTTGGCCAATAGCCTTGACCAGGGAGCCCTGGAGTGTCAGCCTAGGGTCAGATTTAGTGCCTTTTAACCAACAGAGAAAATCTGGCTTCAGGGTTTTTTTCCCCCTCCAATGCATCACTTACTTCTAAAGAGCAGCTGGTACTTACTAATGGAGAACATATTGGTGTGTCTTGCCAGCCCTTTCACCATTGCTAGCAATTTCTACATCTTTGTAGATGTAGAAATAAAAGATGAAAATTCCCTTGGTCAGGGGAGGCAGAACAAGCTCAGAAAGAGAAAGAAACACAGGAGGCAGGTAGCACAGATGGAAGAGTAAAGGTTAGGACCGTAAGGAGGGAGATATGAAGGAAGTTAGTGTGATATTTAACTTTGTAACACTATTGATTGATTGTGTTGATTCAGGAAGATTCACTGCTATTAAAAGATTTCTAGTGTTTAGAGGTGTCTCCTGCAGAGCTTTTTTCTTTCTTCCCTGAGCAAGCATTGTGGACATCCTCTTCTCCATGCACTAAAACGGAACTCTTCTTTTTATCTTATGCTGATATGAAGCCTTTTGAGCTGCAGATTTTTCAGGAGGAGTCAGCAACACCTTCAGTTTTGTGTCTGCAGAAGGGTAGCCTGAGAGAAGAAGCAGCAGCAGGAGAGGTAGCCACAAGTCTTCTGTAAGGTGTCTGCTGGGCCCCACTTTGTAGACTGATGAATTTTTGAAACAAGGCTTGGTTGTACTGTGTCTCTGGGGTGTCACACAGACAGCAGGGCAACTAAGGCATTGCAGCAAGAGGGAGAATTTGGGCTGCACCCCAAGTTCATCCTAAAGGTCCCAGCAGTCTGCAGATGCCTGTGCTAGTGGGGCTGAGTTGGTTGCTCCAGAGATTTAGATAAATTGTCTTACCACCAGGGCCCTGTGAACTTCCTGTGTTTCAAGTGCAATAGCCAACTTTTTGCAATGTTTCTAATTCCTATTCATTTGTGGACATTTACAGGAAAAAATATACTCAAGAAAATAGGTCACACAAAACCACCCTGCCACTCTTTTTTTGCTCAGGACATGGCAATAAGAAAGAACTACCTTATCAGCAGAGGTGCTACATTGTGAAAAAATGGACAGTTTATGTCTTAGCCTGAGCCTGGGTTGATAGCTTTCTGCACTGGGCTCATCCTGCAGCAACCTCTCCAGGACTGCATTTCTGGAGCAGTGACTGGGCAGCTGAGGTGTACATGGCTTTTCTTCATGGAGCTCTGCAAGGCTGAGTTAAAAAGTGCAGAAGTGCAGGTGCCACCATGAATTCAGAAGCAACAATACCTACACTGTTCAGTTTTTCTCCATCATTGCTTATGGCTTCAGAGGGCAGTTTTAAATGCCCATTAATGGCTCAAGCTGGGAGATCAAAGGTGGCACAGGTACACTCAAAACTATAATTTCCCCATTTTGTGTATGGAAAATCCATCAGGTAACATATTGCTCCAAAGCCAGGGTTTTGGATGGCTGTAATCGGCCTGAGCACCAAAGTCTCACACGTGTACTCAAGTAAAGCCAGCTTGTCACCGCACCTATGGCAGTCCCAGCACCCTCAATTCTATTTACTAAGTATTTATCTGAAAATAAAATGGAATAAATCTGTCAGTGACAGTTTTAAATTACCTCTCACTGTGTTCTGAGCGAGTGCTGGATGCTGTTTCCTGGTGAAGGAGGTTGTGCAAGCTGGCACTTCGCCTCTCTTGAAAAAGCCTGGCTGTGGAGCACCCAGAGGGCCACCTCACCCCACAGCCAGGGTGCTTCCTTCCTCCTGTGCAGACTGCTTTCCAGGAGAAATATTCAGGATAAATGAAGCTCACTAGGGAGAATCACTTGCTTACTGTACGAGACTCTGGCAGGACATGCCCCTTTGACACTGCAAGGTGTGACTGCAGGTCCTGTAGTTACACCTAAGTTAATGCAAAATTGGGCAGCTCAAAGATTGGTGTCACTGAAGCACCTGGGCTCCCTGCCTGGGGCTGGGAATTACATTTGCTTGCAGATCTGGCTGACAGTGCTGCAGAACAAGTGCTTCATACCCAGCTCAAACCTCCTTTACATCCTGGATTCTCCAACACTTTGCTCTTTCTCTTGTATCACCTGCTCTCTAGTGCCAGCACTACCTTCGTTTTTATGAGTCAAATGGCCAGGGATTCAGAGACAGCGAGGCCAGAAAAGCTACCACAGATATCTACTTTGATCTTCTACAATAGGCAGACCACAGGATTGCTCTGATTCTGTCTTTGCTACACTCAGGCTTTTAGAAAAATCTATTGTGAGCCAAACGCATTGTGAATTGGCCAATTGAGCTCTGTGTGTGTGTGTGTGTGTGTGTGTGTGCGAGAGCACTGACCAGCTGGTGTCTGTGACACACACCATGACACACAATCACAGCTGCCCTCCTCTGAGTAAGGACACAATTCAGCACAGAGCTCTGCCCCACTGCTGGGTACGCTTTTGGACTTGTCATATCTTTGAGATTTCTATTTTCCCACTGCCTCACCCCAGTAACACTGGTTGTAGCTGGACAAACACACTAAAGATATTTTAAATTTGCCTGAGTGGGAGAGGAAGAAGAAAAACAAGGGACAGAAACAAAAAATGCATTGACTTTGCTATCCCTAGGCAAGCATGTAAGAAATACCCTGTGTTTGGCCAGCTCAATTTTGCACCTTCTGTATTTGTTTATCAGTGTGAAGATTAACTATTATATTTCTCTTCCCCATGTTTAAAAAGCAAACAGCTCCCTGGTCAACATACACCTGAGTAAACTAAATAGGTTAGAACCCTTGTTTTCTTTCTCAAGAGACATATTTTTCAGTCCCTCAGTAATTTCTGTGGCCCCTTCCTGAATCTTCTCCAGTTTTATCAACATCTTCCTTCAATTTTTAGGCATCAGATGAAACAAAAATTCCAGCATCAGCCTTCCTGTGGTATGACACAAACCTCTCTGTTCCTTCTGCTTTGTACTGCTATAATCAGGATATAGGAAAGATCAGAGCATCATTTAGATAGGAAAGATCATTTGCCATCATCATTCTGAAGCTCATGTTCTGCAGGTGGTGTGCCAGGGCCTCTAGCCTCTACTGCAGCCCTCCCCAAAACTCAGCTTACAGTCTTTGTAGGGACATATTTCCATTATAAGCCACACTCAAATATATATTGTTTACTTGTATCTTATTTATTGACTGGTTCATATTGCTCTGTATCAGAGACCTGTTTTCTTCATACTTGATTACTGCACCTTTTATTTTTTTTAGCATTTCCACATGACTGCATTTTTCAGGTTGTTACTGAAGAGTTTTAAACGGTATAATGTTAAAAATTTATCTCTGTAGGAACCACTATAAATGTAATCATGAAAACAAAAGTGCCCATTACATTTTGAGACTTACCAGAAAGTTTTTAATCCACTCTGCCTCTTAATCAAAATGGCATGCCGTGCCACATCACACACCCTGCACAGGCTGTTACAACAATCTCAGCTGGATTTTACAATCAATCTCACAATATTATCAACAGGTAACAAGCAGCTTTTTCCTAATTGCACTTTGTTCAGCGTTAAATATACCACTTTCTTTTTATTTTTTATTAGTTGACTTTGGATCAGCTATAGAGCATTTTACCTGGATTCATTTCAGGCTATTGGACTTATAATTGCATGAACTCTTTTATTTGTCTTGCCAGGGAAGATTGGCAAGATATAGCTGATTACCTGGGGTGTTTTCCACGGGTGCAGCAATAGATGTTTATCCAAGATATAATGTGACCTTGGCTGGATTGGTGTGTGGAGACATCTGCCTTTTTGTCATCTGGGAAGCTTCTGTGTTTGGGTGCACTGCACAGCTCCTTTGCTTTTCCTGGGCTGAAAACTTTAGAAACCAAATGTTTTGTTTCCCAAGGTCAAACAACATTTATCCAGAGGGAAAGGAATGGAGTGAACCTCAGGCCTGATACCAGGAGACCAGGAGAAGAGTACACAGGGAGGTTGTGATGCAGAGACAATGGCTGGGGGCCCCACATGGGCAGCATCACTTTTGGGGTCCCTGTGCAGGACCCAAATTCCTTCCATCATGTTCATTTCTGTTGCTTCCCTGAGCTCCTGTTCTCTGTGCTACCAACCTTTTTGTGGGGGTGTAAAAGTCCTGTGAGTATCTCTACACTCTGTTCCTTTTGTCCCACTTTAGTTCTTCATTAACCAGTGCTGGAAGGAATAGAAACTACATCTTGCTGTCCTTCTGTTTCTTGCTCTGGTTCTGAAAAAGAGACCTTACATCTACTGAAGAGTTCAAGTGCTACTGAGATATCCCAGAAAAAGAAAACTTTCTCTACATGAAGGTCATGCATAGAGGTGGTTGCCTGCCTGAGATTTGTCTGCAACAACAAAATTGCTTTTCTATTTTTACCGTTGATTTCCTCAAAAGGGATTTGACATACAACACAATTACAGAAGCAGGGAAGTGGGGGGCTCCTACCTAAAGCCTGAAGCCAAGCACAATAGTTTTGGTGAAGCTGTGAGCCTGTATTCATTTTCATTAACAGAGTGTGGAGTGGAGCTGAAGCTGGTATGAATCAGAGCAGCTGGTGTGTCTTCAGTGGACCTACCCCTGGCAACATCTCTTGTGGGTCTGACACTGAAATGAAGGATATACAGACAGAGATGGGTGCGATTAGTTTTTCTGATTAATCCAAAATACATGGAGAATGGGGAATGGAGAATATAGAAAGAATCAAATAAAGTAGCTGAGATAATAAATGTGCCCTTCAGCCCTTCACAGGCATGTAGAAAGTAAACTTGGCTCTTTGATTAAAATGATTTGGCAGTATGGCTCCTTGTAGTCATGCCTAAGACCTTGTCCCAGTTTCTTATTTTCCCTTCTACCTGTTCCTTTAGTAGCTGCCTGAATTGTTGTAAAACAAAGACAGGGCTGAAAATCAGATGCATTTTTTCTAAATAAAGCAGCAATTTAAAATCCCCTACGTGAATAAATAATCCATATGTTGCCTGAATCTTTTATGACATGAATTCCAAAAACCAACTTAAAAAGCTTTCTCTGTTGTTTTGGAACTGGGTCAGAAAACTCGCTCAGGGAATTTTTAATGAGCTAGGCAGCCTCCCAGCTCTGGGTTACTGGTTCAAGCACGAATCAGGTTAGTAGGCAGTAGAATTTGTCGCTGCAGCTGAAGAAGCCAGACACACGCCTCACTCCAGACACCCACGTTGCCATGGGCAATAGTGGCACAATGAGCACAAAAGCACAGGGAAAAATGGGAAAAGGGTCTAGAATATAGGAACTACTGAATCTCCTTTCATTCAACACTTGTCTTCTAACTCATGCTCCAGCCTGGATGTTGCCCTCCTGTGTCCTTAGCTTCTTTCAGCACTTTCTCCCCTACTTCCAGCTGTAAAGGGACCACTGGCTCGCAAATAATGAAATAACCGCCTTTGTCAAGGGACACCTCAATATAAAAATGGGCATCAGTTAGCAAAAGCTGAAGATACAATTTTTTCTGGAGCTGTGAACCTTCACTGTTGATAAAATTACCAGACTTAATGTTGTCTTGACCAGCACAGAGAGCCTATTTTTGCCCCTTTATCATTGCTCTGTAGATCTCGTATACACTAACTGTGCCCAAGTTTTTCAGTGTTTTTCTCAACAATTTTACTAAGATTGATTCTTTTATGATTTTTTTTCTTCCTTTCTTTACCATGCTTACTCTTCCTTTTAATTTGTCAGCTTTACCTTCCTACTTTCCCTAATTTTCAAAGGAAGAGTGTGCTACTAGGGTCACATTTTTTTCACCAATTCCAACTATAGAAACTCTATCTTGTTGTCATTCCAGGCTCTCCCAGAAAACTGTTCAAACACTTCTGTTTCCCTCCCAGCTTTCAGACATTGAATGCAACCAGTCCTACTGGTTATCATTCGACAGTTCACTCACAAAGTTTTAATGGATAAATACCTCAGATATCTCAGTGCTGGGTCCCACAGCCCTCATGTCCCCCACATGGATGCAGTCAAGGGACCATGGAAAGGACATAGAGATATGACAAGCTACCTATGGCACAGCTCTTTAGCACTTTCCTAGCAGCCTGACTTCCCTGGTTGACTTACCATTTCAATTCCATCCTCCTTTTTTGCTGGAAACTGGGGTTCTGGCAAAGGCTGTGGTATGCTGGGATCTGTTGCAATACAGAGCCTGTGCACAAGGCAGTATTTGGGTCACACTGTTGTGATATGTTTTTTCCTATCTCTCCTATATTCCAGCCATGTATGTGTCCTGGTAAAGGCAGAAGGGGAGCTCAGGGGCTGCATGGGGCTCCGTCATCAAACAAGTGGCCTGCAAGGGCTGTGAGTCCTCCTTAAATGCTTCCTCCAGCCCTGACCCTGCTCTGCCAACGAGGAAAGTACTGCCAAAGGGTCAGGTGCAGACAGGAACACCTATTTTGTCCAGTTACTCCTTTTTATTATGAAAGATTGGTAAGTATGTAAAATAGACCTTTCACAAGTTAGAGGAAAACAATTAAGAATTAAGCCGCGGTCTCAAAATGACATTTCTTTTGTATGTTCCACAAAATGATAAAAACTCTGTTGAATCCCTGATGCTGCTTCACCAGCATGAGTCACAGAAGAGCCTTAAGGAATAAGATGGAGTAGAAAGAAGGGAATCATGAAAATGCATTTGATCAGATTTGTACTTTTTGTTCTTTTTAGAAATATTTGCAAATATGCACGAAACAGCTTTTAGTGCTCTACCTCATGCTATCTGATCGAGACATTAATTTTACAGGATGCTAAAAAATCAATAGTAAAACTTTCAGACTCTGCTAGACAGGATGGCTATCTGCTCACAAATCTCATTTTCCAGTTGTTCAGCTGCTGGGAATAAGAAGATCACCAAACAAAGCAGTTTCTGTCAGGTTTAAATATTTCCCTTAGCTGTATTTGTGGAGCTAACAGAATGGAACCAGTTAGAACAGTGGGACCACCAGTAAAGAACATTTTTTTTGGCATAGTAAAAAAAGTAAGGTGTCTTTCAGACATGAAAGCCAGAGGAGCTTCTGCCTCTGGGAGCTAGCCCAGTCATTAGAAATCACATCCTTCCTGCACATTTCAGTAGAAAACATGATTATGCCCTAAATATCCAAACACAGCACTTTTCCTATGCTGAAGGGAGGCTATGAATTACACTCAAAATTTTTTTTAAGAAGAAAACTAATAATAATTAGAATAGAAATAGGAACAGACAATAACCGCTAGTTTATTTTACTTCCTTCTTCGGTCATATGGAGAGCAAAAATAGAGGTATTTACTGAAAAGGTTACTTTGTGAACACTGCAAATAATGCTAGAATATGCATTCCTAATGCAGTGACCTGTTTGCATTAAGAAATATGAGTGTTAATTAGGGTGAAATAGGAAATGACCTATCAATTCCAGCTAAACCAGAGCCAGGCATTTAGGAACCTTTGGTTTACCTGAAAAGAGAAAAGCCAAGGTTAGGGTTGGGTGAATGACTCAGAAAATGCCATTTCTGGAGGGAGGAAGGAAGGAAGGGAGGAAGCACTAAGGAGACAAGCCCTAAGGACACTAAACAAAAAGGGGGAGGAAGGCTGTGAAACCTTGGCTCCACTTACTTTAGGGAACTCCACTAAATAAGCTATATACCCAGAAGAACAAAATGTTATTTGGACAGGGCCTGGGTATAAACAGATTATTTCTGAAGCTCAACAAGGAACATATTTGACTGATCTCTTTCTGTCAGGGCCCTTTGGCACCAAACCCAGTGTTACTAAAACTTAGGGGAAAATATCATGTACTAGCTTACTTAGAGATGCAGAAGATGGTTAGTAACAATGGAAGGATTTGTTTGAAGAGACCTGGAAATAGTACAAGACTGAAGGAAACTGGCAAGGTCACTGAACCACAGAGCTCAGCAATTGCATCAGGGGATCCTTTTCTTAAGTGCTTTGTTTCAAGCCTGGTTAGGCCCAGGACTAATACAGGTGTTGGTCACTCCCTATCAGGCAATATAATAAGGGACAACCATTTACACAGATGACATATATTTGATTTTTATCTCTGTCACAGTTTAACATGTATTTGACATGCATTTTGAAGTATGTGTCATCAGCATTATGATGTGTTGATGACACATACTGAAATGCTGTGAGGGAAAGAAACTTCCTGGGGAATTATTACCCACAAACAGCCCTTTGGCAATTTCTCAGGGATATGTGGTGCACTAGAGAACATTGGGCTAGTCTTGTAGCAATTTTTTAGTTCACATCTGCCTTTCTAACAGGGAGAAATATGTTTTTAGGCCATAAGGATTAGCATCTCAGGTAAATATTTAATGGTATGGAAGTTGCTTTCCTCCGGTCCGGATCTCTGGATGTGTTTCACAATAGTTCTGTAATACTTAATTACACAAATGAGAAACTCATGAAACACCATGACTCAGAGGTGGACATGTCTCACTGCATTTGAGTCTCCTAACTAGCTTTTACTTTGAGGGGTTTCTCTTCAGCTTTCTGCAGACTCCAAATTTCTGTTCCCAGAAAGGACCTTGCAATCTGATAAGTACAAGCGATTTGTTCCAGCACTGATCAGACTAAACATGCATGTTTTGTTCTTTATGTTCCAACAATGGAGGCTTTGTGGTAGGGCATGGCTGGCTGCCACCCAGGGAAGAAAGGACAGAGCGAGCCCAGCACCGGTGCAGCCGTGTGGGTGAATGCCACGCCGGGCGGCGCTTCCCGGGCACTCTGGGCATGTCACCGTGCCAGACATCCATCCATGCTGCACCATTAAACCCATAAATGTCACCTGCTGCTGGTCTGCAAGGGCAGCTCAGGGGTTTTTAACAAATAGAAGTGTGATAGGAGGAAATTGCATTGGCTTCCTCATAGCAGAATTTTTGTTTAAGGAATTACAGGTGGCGTCTGTGAAAATGTCTGACACTGCTGTTGTCACTGCTGCTTCCATTTGCTCTGCAGTCCCTCAGAGGAGGACAGCACACTCCAAAAGAGGAAGGTAGCTACACAGAGGGACTACATTTACAGCCAAAACTGGGGGAGATTAGTCCAGAAGACACTTCTGTGACCATTCTTCACAGATTTATTTATTATTAATTGTTAGCAAGCATTTGCAGGAGAAGAAGACTTTCTTTCTTGAAGGAGGAGGATGACATCAGTGACAGGAAGGGATTCACTGGCTTTTCCATGTAAACTCCTGCCATGTAAACTCAGCTTTTTAGCTTTCTTTTTTTTTCCTTTTTGGTGGAGATTTTTTTCTGGGGGGGAGACAAAGAAAAAGATAACTGATCCCAAAGTTTTTTGTATCATTTTGAGACAGAAACATAAAAAAATCAAATGTTGAGACTTATAGACTGAAACAGCAGAAAGCAATCACACTGAGATACAGGCTATTAAGTCTGCTCTTCATCTTTCCACCTCTTTGTTTGTTGTCCATTTTCTCACTTGCCTCATCCCAGGTGTATTTTTGCCTCATAGAGCAACAAAGTACGACTAAATAGTGATAAAAGGTCAGACTGGGGTGAAAAGAAATGAAGAAAAAGGAAAGATGAAGAGGAGGGGGGGAAAATGGGCAGGAATTTGCTCTGTGTGTGTGTCCTACGTCCTCTGAACTTAGATCTCCCTTTCTCCAAGGTGTATAAGTACACCTGGGCCTTGGGGTGTAGGTCCTGCTACTACTGTGCAGTGCCTGCCTCAAAGTATTCAAGTGCCATCTCTAATTGCAATTTGAGTTTTATCCCTCACTACCGTGCAGGAATTCAGAGCAGCACGGCTCAGCTTGGATGCTTAGATGCTTTGACCTAGATTCCAGGCAGCGGTTATAGATGGCTGGTTGCTATCTGTATATTCTTGTGACAGCACAAGAAACTAAAGCTGTCCCTCAGCTTTGGTAACTCCTTTCATGGCTGTATCATGCTGGTGTCTCACAGCCACGAGTAACAAATGCACCCAGGTCTCAGTTAATGGTAACATGCAGTGAAAACATATTGTCAGCTTTAAATGTCTGTAGCTGAATAGTAGGAGGGACATTTAGGTATGAAAGAATGACTGTTCTGTCAATGCTTAGGGGATGAGATATCTTAAAATAGATACAAGTAGCTTAAAATACCATATGGTATCTTACAGTGTTATGCTCTACTGTATTAAGATTCCTCCACCTAAGAATTTTTCTCTTCTTAATTTATTTGCATTTCCTGTTCCAACATGAGGATTTCACCATTTCCCTTTCTTTTCCCCCCTTTTTCTTTCCTCTATCTTTATGTACCTGCTGTAGAAGACAATGAGGAGGTGCCCTTCCAAAATCTCCTTACCAGAACCAAGAGCAACAGCAAAGCTAAAGATTAACAAGCAGCAGATGCAGAGAAGAAGGCAGATGGAGAATGAATGTAGCAGGAAGCAAATCCAAAATATCTCTTCAGGGATCATTAACATACAGAAACCTATTAAAATTTCATAGAAAACCCCAAAAAGCAACAACAACCAAAAACCAAAAACAAACTCAAAAAAAACCCAAAAAGAACAAAAAAAACCACAACAAACAAAAAAATAAAACAAAAACCCCATTAAAAATATGTCTGTGCCAAGGGAATAAAGACTCTGGATTAGCTATGAAAAAATTGTGTGACCCATTGAGGTTTCCAGTATCTCACTTAAAGTACAGTATTAAGTAGCAGTTGTACTCATTAGAAAATGCAAGCAGAATTTGTGCCTAAACCCCCATGCTGCTAATCATCAACCATTCATACTGAATTCCCCTCTTTTCTGCTGCAGAATTGTACTGAAGATCAAATCAAACACTGGTTGAGAATGTGAAACATAAGTAACTCCAACACGTACTGAAGAGGTTCTCTTGCCTCACAACTCATCATCTCTGCTGCACTCAGGCAGAATTTTTACATTTTATCATGACATGCAATTATAAGAGGGGTGCCACAGGTGTTGCAATCTAGCCACAAATGATGAGCAGGGGTCTCCTTTGGCGTTGAAGTCCATCAGTGGTGTCTCTCATTTACTCCTGCTCCAATCCCTCTGGTTTAGGAATTTGTCATGAGATCAGAGTTAAAGACATCTTTGTATGAAAACCTGCATGGATTTCATCTGAGCGAGAAGCGTAAAACTGATTATCACTTCACAGTCTTTGAAGATGGGTGGGCTATATTGTTTTGCTTTTTTTGTCCCTTCATGACCATTATGTGTATGTCATAGATTTGAAAATACAGTCAGATTTGGCCTGAGTAAAAAATCATTTTGACATAAATAGGATTTTTTTCCCTTGAATCAGTGCCTCAGGATTGGCCTGACATTAGGATATGTGGGATTCCAGATAGCACACTTACCTATCCTGCCCTCTTGACAGCTATTCATACAGTTTTCTCCTTCTGAAGGATCAGCAGTTTAACTTAGTAGGTCATGGGACTGGATTCTGCAAGATGAGCATAAGCCAAAGGGTATCAAGAAGAAACCAACCCAAACCCAAACAAATAAAAGAACCTGAATTCAAAAGCAGTCTCTATATCATCCAAACCAGTCACAAGTACAAAGCTTCTCTGGGATATTCTGAAACAATGTACCTTTCTGTGGAAAAGTTATATATCTTTCTTGAACAAAGTCTATCATTCCTAGGCTTCAAACTGGGAACTGAGATGGCTGCAAAGTTTTCTTACTCTGAATTCAAAGGGAATATAACATTACACACATTTCAACTTCAGCTCTGACTGTGCCTTAAGAAACATTTTTAGGATTAAATATTATATAAGAAAACAATCCCTGTACCTGTCAGTGTAACAATATCCATGAGTGACATGCTGCTGACTTCTTTCCCATAGGGAAGCAAACAGCCTATTTATTTAGAGACCTGTTGTATGACTCAGTCAATAACTCCTCTGTCTTGTTCCCTTGACTATTCATTAGTTCTAATTAGAAATAAAAGGCTGGAAGATCAAACTGGCTCTGCTCAGTTAGTTTATTGATTACAAAATTTTAGACAGTAATCAATAAAGACATAAATCCCTTTCATCTCTAGAGACCTAAGACACTTCATTGCTCCTAAGGGCCCCTGCTCTTTATAGCTATTCCATTCTTCAGACTGTGGTAAATATCCTCCACTTCTTATTACTGGGAGTAATTAAAGGTTGAAGCAGCCCAAGTGATGATAAAATCACTTTATGGCAAGGACAGCAAAGCAGCACCTGACAGCATCTCCTGACTCGCTGTGGAGCGGTGAGGACAGCCTGGTGTGGGATGGGGATCACCTCCTGGTCCCTGCACACAGGCTGGCTGAGGGAGCCACAGGGTCACAGCTGTGACTCCTTTCTGGGGCACTGGGCTGTTTTGGGCAACTCACTCCAGGGCTCAGATTTGTCAGTGGCTGAGATCTGAGTGTTGCTGGCAGAATATTCCCCACTTTTGCCTCCCAGACAAGCTACTGGTTCAGTGAAAGCTTGACATAAATAAAAGAAGTAATCCAGGAACCTGACCCACACTGCCAGTGTTTAGTCTAGTGTGAGAGAAGGGGTTTCCTTCTGAACATATCCAGGGAATTCAGAGAAAATAGGGCTGGATTATTGAAGGCCCCGTTGAAGCCTGTATGAAAGACAAGTGTGAAAAATACACAGCATGGATATGTCAATCTCTTAATTCAAACAAAATGTTCAGCCAGATTCATGTTATACTGACAAGTCAGGAATTTAGGAGGGAAGAGGAAGTGCATCTATGAGTATGTCCCTTGTAGCTAATTTATCCAGCTAAAAATAACATTAATGATGATGTTGTTTTGTCTTGAAAGCCTGACTATCAGGAGATTTCAACTTCAAGTAATATGGAAATGGCATATTCAGAACCAGGAGTGATGGAAGAACAGTTCTCAACATGAAGCCCTATGTATTGCTGGATTAGCATTTGCTTAAATCAGAGTAATGAATTTTTATACATTTTAAATAAGTTGTCTTAGCTTTTAATGTTAGCCACCTAAAACATCAGAAAGGACATCAGACACGTTGTCCATGGGGGTGACCATAATCAACAAATTGTATTAGTATTGTATTTTATTGGTATTGTAACATCTGGCTTTGGTGGCTGAAAACATGTTTTTAAATAGCACTTCATTAAAAACAGGAAGCCCTTCTACTCTCAGAGTAGACACTGCCCTTGACAGGAAATTATACCTTTTCAGACAGCAGGTAGAGCAAGAAGTACATATATGTTCTGGTGAGTAACTATAACAACAAGAAGGACAAAAAAAAACCCCCTTAAGCCAGAAATAAATTGTCAGGGCAACAAATTAGTCTGCTTTGAGTTTGAGGCCTTGAACAGAGAGCAATGCAGATGGACATCTCCAGGTGGTTTTTTTTACCAGGATCACCTTAGCTGGACTATGGAGTCTAAAACCAAGGAGCTGCAAGTTAGAAGATAGAAATCATAGATTTACAGAAATGTAGGCCCAAACTACCAAGCCTTCTCCTTTCATCAGAGATATAAATTGCTTCCCAGTGACAAAATGTTATGAATTTGGACAGAGCATGTAATATTGAAATAAGATTGTCTAGCTTGATGCACCTTTGTTAAAAAGGAAATCCCCACAGTGTTTTCCATATTGACTACTCCCTCACTGTAAGAAATCAGAAAAGAGGGCACTAAACTATGGCTGTTTATATGAGCATGATTTTAATCACCTTATCACTAAATCTATGAAAAATCTGAAGTATCTGCAGAAGTTCACATAATTTCAAGCAATCTTGTCCTAAGTTCGTCAGATAGCTTTCAATGATGTCATGAAAGCATGTATGGGAAAACCACATTTGCTATTTTTCATTCTTCTTCAAAATATGTTCACTCCCCAAATACAAAGGAGTGCTCCCAGGAGCAGGAGGTTTCAGGGAAAAAATATGCTGCTACTTCTGCCCTCTTTCCTCTGGCACAGACATGACTTGGGCTCCACACACCTGTATTCCCTGTTTGGCGCCTTTGCCAGATGCACTTGCTGATTTACTGCTGCAAGACCAGCTGGGGGAATCTTGGTGGCATCAGCCCTTCTTTTTATTCAAACTGACCAGATGCCATAACAGAGCATTTAGATAGCCATTGTTTTACAGGGGCTGGCAAAGAGAGGACATGAAAAAAAGTGTCCCTAAAAAGCCACCAAGCAGACCCGCTCTTTTCCTTCATCTCTTGAAGAGGAACCAGTGCCCTTCACCTGCCCAAACACTTTCTGATGGTGGTGGGAGCCTGGCTGGTTGATCTTCTCCACATGGACAGGGGAAGGCTCCCTGTGTATGTGTTGTCCAGGGTGTGCCTGTGGAGGTGCTGGTAGCAGATCAGAACTAAGGGGCAGCACTCCCAGACGTCCAAGAGCCCTTCCAGTTGCCGAGGCTTGAGGCCATCGATCCCTTCAGTGTGCACAGGACATGTCTCAGACACGTGCATGCCTGCCCACCTGGTGATGGGACAGCTTGCTAGCCACCCTCACATCCCTCAGCTATATCAGCCCTCCCTGTCTGGGGCAGGGAGGGGAACAGGAGATGAAAGACAGAGACCTGTGGGCAAGACACATGTCCCTGCTGTGCTTCAGGGACCATGTAGGTGGTCCTGGTGCAGCCCTCAGCAAAGGCTCTGCCTGAGGGGGCACCCAGCAGGCAGAATATACACACTGAGAAAATTGTTGTTTCAAACGACCAGTCTTCTGAGATGGTTTATGGTGTCTGATTTTTGAACATTTACATGAAAAGACAAGGGAAGGGAAGGAAAACAAGGGAAAACATTTTAATGTCAAGGCTTTTTGACAACATAGATGTCATAGGGCCTTGCTGAGTTCTAAGCTCAGGATCAAGAAAATTATTGATTGCTCGAGTTTTCCTGCTAGAAGGAGCAGAACGTTGCAGTGCACAGGGAGCCCTCCCCCACCTGCTGGCTTAGCAGGAGAGGGAACAACAACACAGCAACATAAATGCACTTCTGAAAAGGCTCTTAATTAAAAAAAAAAAAAAAAAAAAAAAAAAAAGAAAAGGATTGTATATTTCATCCACATGACACCGACACATTCATATTATATGACACATACTTGGAATATTTACATGACTGATGAGCATAATTATCAACCAGGCTTTGACAAGAAAATGTATTTCAAGGGTTGGATTTTTTTTGACATAGAGTTCTTCTGTGCTGGAAATAATTAGTGCTGCCTGCTTTCCCCTTGTTCACAGTATAATTTTTTCCCATATTACAAAGATTAGTCAGAGCTTATAAAAATCCTGTTCAGTTAAATCTAACTAGTAAAGAATGGTAGACCACATGCCAAATAAGAGGCAAAGAGAAAATCAAAATAAAAGCTGATTCATTTAAGTAATCATTTGAAAATCAATTCCGCATTTTGTTCTCAGTATGGAATAGTTCATAAGGAATATTGATTTTGATGACTACTTTTACTATTTTGGCTAGACTAGGAACTGTATTAAATGCTTACCATTGAATAGGGATGGCCAAACCAGCTTGGAAAAAAATGTGTTTTCTGTTCTGGGCATTCTCTGAATCCTTATTCATTTAGAGGATGAAACCCTGACTGCCTCCAGCCTGAGAGTCTGAACTTCAGCATCCA